CCCGGCTTTTTATTTTATTTATTTAAGACGGAGTTTCACTTTCGTCACCCAGGCTGGAGTGCAGTGGCACGATCTCAGCTCACTGCAGCCTCCGTTTCCCGGGTTCAGGCGATTCTCCTGCCTCAGCCTCCTGAGTAGCTGAGATTACAGGCACACACCACCATGCCTGGCTAATTTTATATTTTTAATAGAGAGGAGGTTTCACCATGTTGGCCAGGCTGGTCTTGAACTCTTGCCCTCAGGCGGTCCATCCTCTCGGCCCTCCAGAGTGCTGGGATTACAGGCGTGAGCCACGACGCCCGTCCTACTTCTGCACTTTTAAATAAATTGCTCAGGATTTATTTAAACCAGAAACAACAAGGAAACCTACTCTGTTGACTTTACAACTTCTGTGTTGCTCTTCACAGCCAAGTTTATAAGAGACCCGTTTTCTGCCATCTGCACCCCCTCTTCTCACCCCTGCTCCCCTCAGGACTTCCTGAGCGCCCAGCAGCCCTTGCCCTGCATCCATCATCAGACAACTCAAGGGCCTGGCTCCATCCTGCCTGCCCAGATCCATCTCCCAGTGTCTGGATGTAGCTCCCCTCCCCCAATCCAGCCCCCTCCCCGGATTCATTCCCCCTCCCACCGATCCAGCCCCCCTCCCCAGATCCATCTCCCCTCCCTGGATATACTCTCTCCTCTGCCCCATTCTATTCCCCTTGCCTGGATCCCTCTCCTTGCCCATGTCTGGCCCCTTCACCTGCTCTCTCCCCTGGGGCCCCACACATCCAAACCTGCCTGGGCCCGGCTCTGGCAGAAAGGGGTCCTCTCAGACCCACAGGTCCAAGCCTAATCCTGGCTCTGCCTCCTCTGGCGGGACCTTCTGCGGCTACTCCACCCTGGGCTGGGTGGGCGGCCCCCATCACCCTGGCAACTGAGCAGTGGGGCTCCCCACAGCCCCAGCTGCAAGCGGGCCCTGGCCCTGAAAGCTGACTCAGGCTCTGTCGCTACAGAATGAGTGGACTGCCTACTATGAGGAGGTGGTGTATGTCCTGGAGGAGATCGATTACATGATCCAGAAGCTCCCCGAGTGGGCCTCGGACAAGCCTGTGGAGAAGACGCCCCAGACTCAGCAGGACGAGCTCTACATCCACTCGGAGCCGCTAGGTGTGGTCCTGGTCATCGGCACCTGGAACTACCCCTTCAACCTCACCATCCAGCCCATGGTGGGTGCCATCGCTGCAGGTGCGTGGCCCGGCCAGGAAGGGCAGCTGGAGGAGCACCATCCCCCACCGCGGAGCCGTGCTGGGATGGACTCGGGCCTGTGTTAAGAGTCCTGGGGTCAGATAAGGGTTTGCTGGGCCTGTCGCAGGAGGCTATGCAGACCAAGTTATTTAGCCAGGCCTTTTGGTGCCTGAGGTCCAGCCAGACTCAGTGTCCACACCCGATGATGGAGAGGGCCTGCCTTCCCCCGACTCTGTTAGGGGGTTGGAGCTGCTGTCACCTAATATGCATTCCTAGGAGGGGCCAGAGCCCAACTCAGAGGGGCAGGTGATGCAGCTCTGGCCCGCGTGTGCCTGTGTGTGTCCCTGTGTCATGTGCCCGTGTGTGCTCCTGGCACGCCCCGTGGCATGTGTGGGTGCCAGCAACTCTTCCATCCACTCTCCCTAGTGGAGGGGAGGCTTCAGGCGTGATCCTTGGGAGGGCGGAGCCTCTGGGTGGGGAACCCTGGGCACAGGCCTGGCTCCGTGTGCTCTGCAGGGAACGCGGTGGTCCTCAAGCCCTCGGAGCTGAGTGAGAACATGGCGAGCCTGCTGGCTACCATCATCCCCCAGTACCTGGACAAGGTGAGGTGCTCTCCAGGGCCTCATAACTCCACAGCCACTAACTGCTGAGGCCAGGTCCTTGGGGGGTGAGAAATGGAGAATTCTTAGTCAGGAGCCAAGCTACTGGTGGGGCTGAGGATGGGCCTTAGCAGCTGCCCTCTCTCATTGGGGTAAACAGAGCCCCTGGGTCAGGGAAGGGAGTCTACTGCCAGTTACTGCCCCTTCCCCCCGGGGTGGGCTGCTGGGCTGGGGGCTGCTGGTCTCGGCCACTGCCCACCCACACTTCAAGAGCGAGGAAGGGCTTGGTCTTTGCTGAGCCTCCCCTCTCTCCTGGCATGGAAGGATCTGTACCCAGTAATCAACGGGGGTGTCCCTGAGACCACGGAGCTGCTCAAGGAGAGGTTCGACCACATCCTGTACACAGGCAGCACAGGGGTGGGGAAGATCGTCATGACGGCCGCTGCCAAGCACCTGACCCCTGTCACACTGGAGCTGGGAGGGAAGAGTCCCTGCTACGTGGACAAGAACTGCGACCTGGATGTGGCTTGCCGGTGAGAGGCACGGGCCTGCTGGCTGCAGCGGTCCTTACTCTGCCTTCCAGCACACATGACTGCACCTCCTGCTGTGGGTCCGCTCTGAGTAGCACAGACACCCTCTGCTTCGCACAGCCGCGGTCTGGTCCTTGCAGAAACTTACATGGGGGTGGGGGTGAGGACCACGGGACAGAAGAGGAGTGGGGAGTCCCAGAAAGCTTCCTGGAGGGGGAGAGGTCTAGGCTGAGCGCTGCTCGCTGAGTGGGCATCACTGAGGAAGTGCTCCAAGCTGAGGCTGCAGGAAAAGCAATTGTGGGACATTCAGGACACAAGGAACTGTACTGGGTCCAGCCCTCTGCTGGGGCAGGGCAGTCTGAGTTCTGAAGAGCAGGACCAGAGGGGACAAGGGCCACCGCCACTCGAGGTCTGGGGCAGAACCGGTATCTGCACCTGCCGACCCTAGCCAGGACTCTGACCACCTCCATATTCCACCTGTGTGGCCCCAAGAGATGTAGGGGGCTCGAGTGGCAGTGACACCTGCTGTGCAGGGCAACAGCATGATCAGGGAGCACAGAGGCTGACCCCAACAGATGTCTTCTAAAAATTCCCTGCCAGTCCCCAGTGAACGTGATCAGAGCACTGGGTCTTCTCGGTCCAGTGTCTAGAACTGAGCAGACCTCTTGGGAGGACTCACTGGTGGCAAGGTCACAGCCAATGGCTTCTGCTGACCAGAGAGCTCAAGGGTCTGCAAAACGAGATGCAGCTCTTGGAGAAGCCCCAGTACCTCTTGGATTTAGTCCAGTCTGGGATTTTCACAGACGCATCGCCTGGGGGAAATACATGAACAGCGGCCAGACCTGTGTGGCTCCTGACTACATCCTCTGTGACCCCTCAATCCAGAACCAAATCGTGGAGAAGCTCAAGAAGTCACTGAAAGTGAGTGTTGGCCCTTTGGCGGGGTGGGATGAGAGGCTGTAAGGCACAAGGTGGGCATGGCCCCTTAGCCGACTTCCAGGGACTTGTAAACACTGGATTTATTTTCTTCTAATGTAAACATAATGCGAGCTAGGCACCCTGGCTCACACCTGTAATCCCAGCACCTTGGGAGGCGGAGACTGGAGGATCTCTTGAGGCCAGGAGTTTGAGACCAGCCTGGGTAACATAGCAAGATCCCATCTTTACAAAAAATGTTTTTAAATGAGCCAAGCATGGTGGCATGGTGGTGCATGCCATTCTCCGAAGGCTGAGGTGAGGCTGGAGGATGGCTTGAGCCCAGGAGTTTGAAGCTGTAGTGAGCTGTGGTTGCACCACTGCACTTCAGCCAGGCAACAGAGCAAGACCCTGTCTCTAAGAAAAATAAAAAGGTAATGCACACTCACTATAGATAATTTGCAAAAGCATAAAGGAGAAAAAAGCTCCACCCAGAATCCCACCATGTGAAGACAGTCACTGCTGGCATTTATCTGTGCAGCCTTTGGCCAGGGTGAGGGTCTACGTCCTTACTGGAAGTCCCCTCCTCTTCTCCACAGGAGTTCTATGGGGAAGATGCCAAGAAATCCCGGGACTATGGAAGAATCATTAGTGCCCGGCACTTCCAGAGGGTGATGGGCCTGATTGAGGGCCAGAAGGTGGCTTACGGGGGCACCGGGGATGCGGCCTCCCGCTACATAGGTACGTGATCCCTGAGAGCACAGCCCACCTGCCCAGGCTTCTGGGGTCCCCAGCAAGTTCACAGCAAGTGGGCACAGATACTTGATAAGCAGACATGACTCTGGGATGGGGATAAATTGCTTTCACCAGGGGGCCTGGGGTAGACTCCAGCAGGCAGGAGCTGAGCACAGCCCCAACCTCAGCCTCAGCATCCCCTCTCCCAACAAAGGCCCAGAGAGAGGGCCTCATCTCCTCACCCCTCTGCAGCAGCAGGAGCGGGGTCAGCAGAGGCCATAGGAGCCCCAGGTGTGTCAAGCCATGAGGGGCCCCCAGTGCCCAGGCTGTGGGTCACCAGATGGGCCCACTTGGCCCCCAGTTTGTCAAGGAGACAGGATAATTCTGGCAGGGCATCGGGTGGCTGGTGGGTGCAGTGTCTGCTCCTGGAGGCCGATCTCAGGTCCCTCTATACAGGTTAACCTGTAGTTGTCCCCAGTGGTCTGCCCAGATGGCACCTGGACACAGGTGGGACCTATGGGAAGAGCTCTCTGGGCCTGGTCCCTGCCCTTTTCGAAGCCTGGGCAGCTTTGCCTGGAAAAGGGTTGGAGCAGGGGTCTAGGTGCTTGCACTTGCCAGTCACGTGGGGGTCTCCACGCCATCTGACTCTGGCTGGTTTCCTGCCTCAGCGCCCACCATCCTCACGGACGTGGACCCCCAGTCCCCAGTGATGCAAGAGGAGATCTTCGGGCCTGTGATGCCCATTGTGTGCGTGCGCAGCCTAGAGGACGCCATCCAGTTCATCAACCAGCGTGAGAAGCCCCTGGCCCTCTACGTGTTCTCCAGCAATGACAAGGTGTGCAGTGGGCTGGGGTGCCCTCCCCCAGGGTCCTGGGGCCCACAGACCTGGGTTAACACTGCAGCTTCACTGTTCTCTGTGTGACCTTGAGTGAGTCACTAGATCTTTCTGAGCTCCTTTTGCCTTGTCTCTAAGATCAGGACAGCAGCATCACCTGAGGGCATTGAATGAGCGATCCTTGTCCAGGGCCCTGCACACAGACATGGGGGCGGCTGCCGTCACTCTGCCCATGTGGTGCTGAGGGCCATGCGATCTTCAGGGGGAGCAGGAGACAGCGGCTAGGGCTCTGCCTCCACCAGCTACTCTCCTTGTGGCTCCAGGCTGTGTCCAGGCAGGGTGGGGCAGGGGCCTGGGGTGTCCTGTGGGCAGGAGACTGAGGTCATTGACTGGGTCCTGGTGCAGGTGATTAAGAAGATGATTGCAGAGACATCCAGCGGCGGGGTGACGGCCAATGATGTCATTGTCCACATCACCTTGCACTCTCTGCCCTTTGGGGGCGTGGGTGAGTCTGGGGCTGGGCTTGCTACCTCCATGCCTCCTTCTGGGGCTCCCAGGGCTGGGCACACTCACCCAGGAAATTCAGGAGGGGCTGGAGCAGCCTGGCTGCAGCCTTCCACTAACCGCTTCCCCATGTGGGCCTTGGCCTCTGCCGGCCATCCAGCAGCCACACTTAACCTGGGAGCGTAGAGGGCCCCAGAGGTCACCTGGTGCACCCGGCCTGTTTCATGGAGGCCTGAGAAAGGTGACCCAGGCTAGAGGTCACACAGCCATTTAGTGGCAGAGCTGGGATTAGACCCATGGTGGGAACTCCCACTGTTGTCCCCAGCATGGATGCCCTGGGGACACCCTAGGCATTGGCCATCCTCAGGACGCCCAGAAAAGGGGCACAATCTGGGGCTGGGTGCTGAGGGCCACAGCACTTGAGGGAAGGACAGGTGATGGGCTCTGCCCCCCTGTCCCTGCGGTTCTGGGATGCACCTGACAGGGTGGAGAGGGAGGCCTGGAGTGTCCTAGGGGCAGGATGCTGAGCCCAGAGCCGACTTCTCCTCTGCAGGGAACAGTGGCATGGGGTCCTACCACGGCAAGAAGAGTTTTGAGACCTTCTCTCACCGCCGCTCTTGCCTGGTGAGGTCTCTGATGAATGATGAATCCTTGAAAGTCAGATACCCCCCAAGCCCAGCCAAGGTGAGAGAGGGAAGGGGGCTGTCAGGGAGACCGGGCTGTTGGGGACCAGGGCCTGGGAATCACTGCCCTCTCCATGTCACTCTCACAGATGACCCGGCACTGAGGAGGGGCTGCTCCACCTGGCCTGGCCACACTGTGCCCCATCGGAGTGCGGACCGCCCTTGCTGCCTCTCCTGGCCCTGGGAGAATCAATCCTGCAGCCCCAGCCCTGCCCTGGTCCTCTGCTGTCCTGCTAACCTGCGCATACCCCTCTCCCACGTGGGTCCGGGCCTCACCATCCCAAGTCCCCACCCCTTGCTAGATCAATAAAGAGACCAATACAATTTTCTAACTCAGCAAATGCAGGCATAAGGTGCTTCTTTTGCAGCCCTGCACCCACGACCTGTCCCGTCAGATCCCACTGCCCTATCCAGTGTGCTCACTGACGCACCAGCAAGGGCCTCTCATCAGCCCGTGGGGCCTTGTGCCAGGAGGCCATGCATGGTGTCAGGGTGACACTTGTCTTCCTTTTAGACTCGGGGAGGTCAGTTCCATCTCTGGCATGTCCAGCCAAGGACAGGCTGAGGAGGCTGAGCCTTGACGGCACAGTGACTCAGATATGGGGAGCTGACAGGCTTCCCAGATTAGTTTCACTATCTCAGGCAGGGGTCACTTTGTGAGACGATGTGGTAATCAACACAAAATGCTTCGGTGATGTCACACTGCCGCTCGTGAGGGCGAAGGACCCGAGGCTGGGCAGCACCAGCACCCACAGTGCCTGACAGCGTGGCGTTGGGCAGTGGCTGGCCCAGAGTCCGGCCCCAGAGGCCTGAGGAGCCAGGACAGGGTCCAGCAAGGGGAGTCTGAAGCTGGGGTTTCTGGGGGCTGGACAGACCCAGAGCCAAGAAGCTTTCCAGCCTGGTCCTGGCGGGTGAGGGGAGGCTGCCGGGGAGACCTGCTGAGGCTTCTGTTGAAATTGCCTAGAGTCATTTGTGTTTCTGGTACTGACCTGGCTGATACAGCCCCAGAGCACAGAATCGGCAAAGTTGGGACCAACACCTGGGTCTCCTGCCTCCACACACCCTCTGCCACTTCTTCTGTCCCTCAGAGGAGGGAGCTTGGGGACAGCAGGGGCAGTGAAAGGGCCGGTGTGCACAGGCATCTACAGTCAGGAGACCCCACTGACACCTGCTTGCAGGCCTGGGGAGGGAGAGACTGGGGGGAGGAAGAGACTGGTGGGGGAGGAAGAGACTGGGGGGGGGAGGAAGAGACTGGTGGGGGAGGAAGAGACTGGGGGGGGGGAGGAAGAGACTGGGGGGGGAGGAAGAGACTGGGAGGGAGGAGGTGCTGGGAGGCGTAAGCAGAAGTCTCAGGGGAACAAGCCAGCCCTGTTCGGGAGTCACTGGAGCATGGAGTGGACTAAGGGGCATAGGGAGGAGAGAGAAGATGCCCTCAGATGTAAGTAACGAGGAACACTTCAAAACAGCAAAATGGCTTGAGGAAAGGACAATTTGTTATCACATATCATAAACAGAAGGCAGCTCCAGCAGCTCGCTCCCATCCCAGGGAGCCTGGGGGCATCATCTCCCTGCCAGCTGGCCTTACCTGGGGCGCTGTCCTCTGGCCTCGAGATGGTTGCACATTCCAAGTTCATACCCAGACATGCCACCCTCTGGTGGGAGAGGGGTCAGTCACCCTTTCTTGTGCTTCTGTTTTGATTGGTGCTATGATCTGAATGTTTGTGTCCCCCCAAACATTCAGATGTTGAAATCCTTGTCCCCAGTGTGATGGTATTAGGAGTTTGGGACCTTTGGGAGGTGATTAGTGCCCTTACAAAAAAGGCCTGAGAGGCTGGGTGCGGAGGCTCACCCCATAATTCCAGCACTTTGGGAGATCAAGGTGAGTCGATTACTTCAGGCCAAGAGTTCAAGACCAGCCTGGCCAACATGATAAAACGCCATCTCTACTAAAAATATAAAAATTAACTGGGTGTGGTGGTGCATACCTGTCATCCCAGCTACTCGGGAGGCTGAGCAGGAGAATCACTTGAAGCCGAAAGACAGAGGTTGCAGTGAACTGAGATCTTGCCACTGCACTCCAGCCTGGGTGACAGAGTGAGACTCCGTCTCAAAACAAAACAAAACAAAACAAAACAACACAACACATAGTGATGCCCTGACTCTGCTCCAGAACGTAGAATGAAAATCTCAGGATCCCAGGCATCACCATTTTAAGGAAATTTTCAAAACTGAATTCTGTTAACAAGGAGGGAGGGGAGGGATTGTTCGCCACGCTTGCCCAGTCCAGGCCAGTCCAGCCCCTCAAGGTGACTCCAGAGAAATTCTGGGAAAGAAGGATACTCAGAGAAGAAGCCACCCTGCTGTCACCTGGGCAGGGCTGGCCCACAGCAGAGGTGGAGCTGAGTCCAAGCCTGGCACCAGCCCTCCCTGCAGCCTTCCAGAGTGTGAGCTGGTGGAGTTCCTTTTTAAACCTTTCTGACTCTTAGTTTGCTGCTATTTCAACACCATTCTAACAGATTGGGAACCAGAAAATGTCGCCCGCTCAGCCCAGAGCACCCCAGCGTGGGGCGAGCAGAGAGGTGGCGGGGCAGTGGAGGGGAGTCTGGCAGGCCGGGAGTGGTGAGGGCGCTGGAGTCAGGGGCCCACATTCAAGGCAGATGATGTGGGGACTGCCTGGGTGGCAGCAGCTGGGGAAGAGGGAACGAGAGTCATTGCAGGTCAGGGTTGGAGCTCAGGGGCCCGGGCCCCACCTTTCCATCAGGCAGGTCTTCACTGACGAGCTCTAAACCCCAGCCCCTCCCTCGTGCCCTGCATGGCACTGCCTGGCTTTGTAGGTAGTTCTCGTGTCACTGTGTTCTCGTGCTTATTGTCCTCCTCTGTCTGTGCAACAGGGACATTCCAGCTCTTCCACAGTTCCCAGAACACTTCCAGCTCCAGCCAGCAGTCCTGGCTGACAGGCTGTGAGCGGAGGTGATCTGGAGTGGCCTCTCCAGTTCTTCCTTCCCTGCATGGGTGAACCTCTAGCCCTGCCCTGAGATGGTGAAGCCTCCGTCAGCTCCTCTCTGGTTGACCTTGTGGAGCAGAGCTCCCCCAACCTCCTCTGGAGCCGCCACCATTCTGAGGTTAACTCATTCCTGCCGCATAACCCTGCAGACCCTGCCTGAGATGCTCCCATGAAGGCGAGCTCCTGTAGCGCAATCCACGCCTGCTGCCTGCTGGAGGAATGCGCAGGTGGGATCAGCAACGCAGCAGAGACAGAAGCGTGCAACAGCTCGAGACTCTGCTTTTAGTTTCTCATTTGGGCAAGACTCTGATTACATTTGTTTTGTTTTGAGACAGAGCCTCACTCTGTCGCCCAGGCTGGAGTACAGTAGTGCAATCTCAGCTCACTACAAACTCCACCTCCTGGGTTCAAGCGATTCTCCTGCCTCAGCCTCCCAGGTAGCTGGGATGACAGGCGCCCATCACCACGCCTGGCTAATTTTTGTATTTTAGTAGAGACGGGGTTTCACCATGTTGGTCAGGCTGGTCTTGAACTCCTGACCTCAAATGATCCGCCCACCTTGGCCTCCCAAAGTGCTAGGATTACATACATTTTTGTTTTTTAATCTGAGAGTCTAAACACCAGGAGCAACCAATGGACTGGAGAATGGCAGGCTAGGCTGCGGCTCCTGGACAGAAGCAGCCCCCGTCCGTCAGGCTGCAGCATGGCATGCAGTGCAATGTGCAACCCAGAAATGTCGCCTGCTCTCCTCAGTGATGTGGGAGTTGTGATGATTCTTGGTCCTTATGTTTTGGACAACAGCAATTGTGTGAAAAGGCTGAATCATAATTGTGCAAATCAGTTGTGTGAAAAGGCTGAATCATAATTGTGCAGATCAGTTGTGTGAAAAGGCTGAATCATAATTGTGCAAATATTTATTTTTTCCTAGCCCATTCCTTAGTCCATGTCACGAAAGAAAAAATAGTTGATTAAATCATGGTGTTGGCACTAGACCAAGTCCGTTTTTTTTTTTAATTGCAGTTTTCTTTTAAATTGAGATCTAATTTGGAAATAAAATTAGTTCAAAAAGGTCAGACGTGGGGCCTCATGAATGAAGTAGGAGATATTGTAAATTGTAAGTGTCATACTAACAACACATAGAAGAAGGGGACGGAAGGGGACAAACAGGAGAGGAAGAGGAAGAGGAGAAAGAGGTGATGGTGATTCTCACCCATCGGCTCTAATTCTTCAGTTTGGAAAACGCAGATAATGTCCTTGGAAACCCTCAGCTTTCTCTCTTCCAATCTGAGTGTTTGCAACTGCTTCAGCAGCTCCTGATGCAAAGGTTTTGAGGCGCCTCTGTGATGCCAGAGGAGACCAGATGCCCCAGAGCTGTGGTAGCTGTGGCTGGCACTGGGAGACCTTGGCCAGCAACGCTGCTTCCTGAACCTCAGGTTCCGAAGCTAAAAATGGGGTCAGTGTGGTGGCTCATGCCTGTAATCCCAACACGGAGAGGCTTAGGCAGGAGGATCAGTGGAGGCTAGGAGTTCAAGACCAACCTGGACAACATAGTGAAACTCTGTCTACAAAAATTTAAAAATTAGCTGGGCATGGTAGCGGGGAGAACTGCCTAGGCCCAGGGGCTCGAGGCTGCAGTGAGCTGTGTTTGCACCGCTGCACTCCAGCAAGAGAGAGAGACCCTGTCTATAAAATAAAAACTGAAAATAAATAAACTTTAGCAAACAGGCCCACACCCTCACTGCACAGGGCCACTGTGGGGTGAAGGTGGAGGTGAGAAGGCAGTGTGTGGCGGCCACTTCCTCTTCCTCCCACCTTCAGCTGGGGTAACTGTCATTTATCAGAGCATTGCCTGTGGGGCCCTTACCTGGGACGGGTGAGGCAACAGAACACACTGTCTTTGATTAGAATATTGTCTTTGTGGTTAATATAGTTTAAAACCTCTGGGCCGTCTTATCCAACGGTGGGATCCTATGAAACTTGTCATGTAAAATCAGTTAATTTCAGGCCGGGCACGGTGGCTCATGCCAGTAATCCCAGCATTTTGGGAGGCCAAGGTGGGTGGATCATTTGAGGTCAGGAGTTCGAGACCAGCCTGGCCAATGTGGTGAAACCCTGTCTCTACTGAAAATACAAAAATTAGCCTGGTGTGGTGGTAGGCGCCTGTAGTCCCAGCTACTTGGGAGGCTGAGGCAGGAGAATGGCTTGAACCCGGGAGGTGGAGGTTGCAGTGAGCCGGGACTACACCCCTGCACTCCAGTCTGGCCACAAGCAAGCAAGACACTGTCTCAAAATAAATAAATAAGAAAATCAGATAATTTCAGATGAGATGATGGTGTG